TATGTGCAGCATGCTGATGTAACACATTAACCTTTTGATTGGAGGTTCCTGTTAGTGAGTTAATATGACTTGCTAATATGTTAACGTCACTTATGGTTGCTGTGCCAAACGAACCGCTAAAAAGTTTTCCTACAGAAGGTAAGAGTGCTCGGGTTACATGTAGTCTATCAGATTTTGTTTGACGAAAGTTAGTTTGGGGAATGAGGGTGTGAATGGCTTTTACAGTATGGTTGACATGATTCATAGTTTCAATATGAAGGGAATTAACATAGTGCATAGCTTGGTTTATTGAATTGCAAAAAGATTAACTTCCTGTATATTTGGGTATTTATTATATGAACGCATAGACAGGTAATCTAATTTGAAAAGTATGGGTCCAACTTTCTTGAGCTAAAATAAGTTTGGTGTGTTTCTTTTAAAATGGTACCATGGTTTATTCTTGAACAATACACGGATACTCTACCAATCGTACCTCTTAACCAAAAGATGTGGATTCGAAGATGTTTTTTTTTTGGGGGGGGGGGGGGGGGGGTCAGCTGTTGAGTCCAGGGGACACAATTCTTATTTTCCATGCACTGTGTAATAAAAAAATGACACAGAATGGAATTAAAAGTTGCCGACACTTATATTTAGTGACTCGCAATAGTATGATATTTAAATACATGCATAGTCAGCTTTTCGTGTCTCAAATATAAATATAAGAAAATTTACAAGTTCAAAATAACAAAATTGTTTTGTTTTTCAAAAAGAATGTCATAATTAAACTTTGGAAACATTTTAATGGATACCAACCTACTATAAAGACTTATTTACATAAATCTAAAAATATACCAAAAACCCTGTAAAAAAAATTGTGCAATATTATATAACAAAGGTTTTCTAAGTGATCAATGCTAAGTTACAGGAACAGAAATTTAAACCAAAATTTATCAGAAATACAACAAATGCTTTAATAAAATATATTTATATGTAAATAAATTTCAACTTTTCCAACATTTAACTCAAAATATGCCGAATGTGGAATAGCAATTATGCTTACTTTTGTGTTTTACAGTATTGAAAAATTCAAAACTAAATTTAAAAGCTTAGCGCGAAGATTCAAATTACAAAACGTACACAGATCAGTGTTGGGAAATAAACGTCAAAAACATACATTATAATAAAAATAAATTTTAAACATATTAACACGATTGGTTATTTACAAAATACTCAATTTATTAACTTTACTTTCGATGAATAAATTTAAACGATAAAAATATACAAAGGTTGAATAAAAATCAAGCTTTGCTTTAAATTGAAATCTTTATATTTTTCTTAATAACCAAATAAGATAATTTACTAAAACTTAGAATTAAAACTGTATCATGTTGTAATTTTTGCGTTTAACCCCCCCCCCCTTTCCCTTGTAAATTAAAAATTTACAACATGATACCAATTCGTGCTTTGGTCTCTGAAGATGTAATCCTTCAAGTGGATTATCTTGATTTTTTTTTTAATAAAAGAGTAATGAGGATTCTTATCATACACATGTACCTCTAAATAATATAAGAAGATAATTATTATTTCAACATCATTGTATATGGAGAAAAAGGAGCATCAGAATAATTCTAAAAATGGTATACATGTACACGTATTGTAGAGGTTGATGCGTAACTTTAAACAATTGGAAAAATTGTAAATTTTATTTGAATATACTGTTGTAATTTTATTTTTAAACATGAAAATTTTGACACGTCTCTTCTTGGTCTCTCATATGGCTAGTTTAGATTCGGTTCTGTTCAGTTAATAATAATTTATTGCGACGGGATAACCTTCTGCAAGACTTACCTGTAATGTTATAAATATGGAGTTTAAATGAAGAACCAATAAACCAAACCATGTACATTTATATTTAGTTTTTAAATACTTGTACGTTTAAAATAGCCGCTTTTCTTTGCTTCGTCGTGCATACCAAGAATGATTGACTACAGGTATGTGCACTTTTTTTACCTACTTCTAAACATTCATTTAAGCACATCTATTTTTCATGTTTATCTGTTGTTATATTATATCATTGTACTTTCATTGTTAAAAAATCCTGATGTATTAAATGTATTTCGCTAGTTATTTATCACTGATAAATGTAAACACTTTAATTGAAACCGGAAGTATATTACAGAATTCATTTCACAATGCGCATTTTCTTTTACCAATATCATGAATATTCATTACAGAACGGAGTCATACATGGCTCGTAGAGAATTTGTCCTCCTACTGGGCCTCATTATCTCGACAGAAGTTGTATTTTGTGGAATTGCTTCGACATGGGACTACTGTCACTGCAGGTGGGATGATTGGGCGGCCTGGTCGGACTGTTCGAGGACCTGTGGTGGTGGCCGGCGGTACAGGACAAGGAAAGTCTGGATAAGGACTGACATATGCACACGTGAATTTACCAACTGTGCCAGTAATGATATGGGTTCTGAATTTGGAGATTGTAACGAAATTTGTTACAATGGAGGGACCTTTAGGTCTTATGGAAGTTGCTCGTGTGTGACAGGCTGGCATGGAAGCTGCTGCTTACAGGGTATTTTTTAGCTAATCTCAAATATTTTCTGAATTTATCAGTTTGTCTGTTTATCTAATTATTCATAGTAGGATTCATTTACCTACCTGATTCTGACTGAAATAGATATCTACAAATATTTACATTACATATATTTTTTGCATATAAAGTGAATGGAAATATATTGCATTCAAAACGACATAACACGGACAGGGTGCCAAAAGATTAAAGCATGTGTTTTAGTTTGACGTCATGATCGTTGAACGCCGAGGAATTACAACGTCACAAGCGAAAATCGAAAAATCAGGCTCAAATTTTAAATAAAAAACACATTTGCATCTAAGGTAGAAAGTTCAAAAATGAAAATATAAACAATGAATCAAGATATCGTCTCATAACTGCAACGGTGAGTGCAAACGAGTATTCATAACGCGCTAACGCGCGTTTCTCAATTTGTACACATCGTTGCAGTTATGAGACTTTATCTTTCAAAAAATAATGATTCATTGGTTAATATCAATTCTCATAAAAATCAAAATTTTAAATAGGGTCGTGGACATGACATATCTCCGATTTAGCTGAAATTCACACCATTTACTATAATTGGTATGTCTTTAATAAATTTGATGTTAAAGTCTAACTTTTCAATTTGGTTGCCATGGTAACAGGGATGTTATATTTAGAACCCTCTGATTAAGCAAATTTTGCTCTGTTTTAAATTAAATTTGTGCACATTCAATTAATTAGTAAAAATTCACATGAAAATTATATTATGTGAGCTCATATTACTTAAATCTGAGAAATTAATTTCATTCAAAGATATTTGAATGAAGATTAAGCGAATTTTCATTGCAGCATTAAGGCTGTTAGCAAATTGGCAATTTGCCAAATTTGTCTTTTTTAGTCATATTCAATGAAATTTTTCACCATTTTTACAACTGATATATTTGTAACCATGTATCATTAAATAAACTATATATTCTAAGGTTTTATGAGAATAAAAAAAATTAATGGGTAAATCAAAACTTTCTAGAAATTATTGCATGAAAATTGGCAATTTGCCAAAATTGACTTTTTAGTCATATTCAATGAAATTTTTCACCATTTTGACAACTGATATATTTGTAACCATGTTTCGTTAAATAAACTATATATTCTAAGGTTTTGTGAGAATAAAAAAAATTAATGGGTAAATCAAAAACTTTCTAGAAATTATTGCATGAAAATTGGCAATTTGCCAAAATTGACTTTTTTAGTCATATTCAATGAAATTTTTCACCATTTTGACAACTGATATATTTGTAACCATGTATCATTAAATAAACTATATATTCTAAGGTTTTGTGAGAATAAAAAAAATTAATGGGTAAATCAAAAACTTTCTAGAAATTATTGCATGAAAAATTGTCAATTTGCCAAAATTGACTTTTTTAGTCATATTCAATGAAATTGTTCACCATTTTGACAACCGATATATTTGTAACCATGTATCATTAGATAAACTTTATATTCTAATGTTTTGTGAGAATAAAAAAAATTAATAAATAAATGGGTAAATGTACAGCTTTCTAGAAATTATTGAATGACATGAATGCATCAATGACCCCCCCCCCCCTTCCATTAATCACAAATAACAGAGAAGATCATCTAAGAACATGTTTTACCAAACTGAACAAATTGTTATGTAGTATGAATATATGCCAAGTGTTTAAATTTCTTTTCAATAATTAAATAGAACTTCTGAAATTAACTTGGTGACAGGTAAATTAAAATGTTGCCATGGAAACAAATCAGGCTTCTAGTTATTTTACGCGAGTGAGTTAAGGCTAAATATGAATATTTCTATACAAATGAGCTGATAAAAATTCATAAGCTGTATATTTTATGCTCGTACAGAGAAAGTTCAATTTGATTTTCTTATACATACTAAGTACCCACAGTTTATTTATGCAAGTGCATATTATGACGTCATTGTTCTCTCCCATTCAAGGTTATAAATCATATCAACAAAATCAAGTCGGTGCAAGGTCATGTCCTATCTAATTTAAAATAAACAATGTATAATATTAAGGGGAATATTATTAAAATTAATAAAATTGCTGCACAAATCCTATGGACTTTTTCAATCGATAAAAATTTTAGGAAACTTACACTGGACTGTGAATTTTTACCCTGTTTAAACTTAAAACTGCACAGATAGTAACTAAATAATTGCCGTGCCGACATTTGTGCAGCAATATCGTAAATCCTTGGAGTATCCTTCGTCCTTTTTATACCTTGCTTCTGTAAAACAAAGTAAGGTATGCCCTTGCGCCGAAGCGATTTTGTTGATGTTTCATATAAAATTGTGTAGTAGAGCTCTATGACGTCATAATATGACGTCATAATGTGTACTGGCTATTGCATGTCCTGGGTACCAAGAATGTATAAGAAAACAAATCTTATCATTTTCCGTGCAGTAGGTAGAGCAATTGTGGAATTTAATCAGATATTTTGCATAGAAACCTCCATATGTAGCCTTAACTCACTTGCGTAATCTAAATATGAAATAAAACAAGTGAGTTTCCAAAAATTCTTACAAATCTTTTAATGGCCTGTAATTGTGTCCAATCTTTTTGATTTATTCACTAAAATATGTTCAAATTCAAAACAATTGTTTTCAAAATGGTTAATTTTTTAAAATGTATGATCAAAGTAAAAAGGCAAACTCATATTTAATAAATGATATGAAAGTATTTTATGAAAATATGAAAGTAGGTCAGACAATATAATGTCAAAACAAGTTGGTACGACCATCTTGATTATAATGTTTGTTTGCCCTCTCCCAACTCGGGGTAAAATTATTAAGTCAGCTTGGTAGGTAGGTTGTAAAATCTTTTCCCCAGAAAATTTCATAATATTTGTTGATGAGATAAGATGGATAAAAAAAACCATCCTGTCTTGCAATGTAAAAAAAAAGTTTTGAATTTTAGTTAGTCTGTTGGGGGAAGGCAGCCAAATTTGTTTAAATGGCCTTATATGCTAAATATTGTGGAATTAATTTTTATTACCACATTGCTTATCAGCATATTCAGATGATCAGTTACATGTATACTATGTTATTTTAATGGGTATAAATATTTTAAATTATTTGACCTTGACCTTAGACATTGACCGACTTAAAAAAAACTTTAACCTTAACCACAACTTTTGAAGTTGGACTAGATTTTCATATTTCACAGTTGTTTTACTTGTGGCAAGACCTTTCATGGGATACCTCGTGGGAATCTTGACATAAGCTGCAATGTATGGGGGAATCTGTTTCACAATTAATCTTGTTCTCAGTTTTGTTAAAATGTATTCATATATATTCTAATCATACATGACATACTGTGTGAAGCCTGCCAATATAAAACTCTAAATTTGTGAGCCCATGTGGGGGTATATAATAAATCAATATGGCACCTCTCCTGCAGAGTGGGGATATAAAAAGGGAAGAAACTGCTTCTTTGCACAATACTGCTTTTATAGAAAAAAATAAACAAGACATTAATTGGAATGTATGCTTCACTTAAACAGTGACATTTTTTGAAAATACAAGAAATCAATTTAGAATACACATATTCTCTAAGGAAAACAGATGCCCTGCTTAAAAAAAATTGCTAAAATTTGTTCCTTCATATTCTCTCATTTGATGTCAGCTTGGTTTCCTCGAATTCACATTTCTTTATGTCCTTTTGTGTAAGTTTGAAAAGTAGCTCAGCCTTGCAATATTAATTTGCTGTGGATTTTAGTATTAATGATCATTAGAAAACCCTCTCTATGTCCATCTTGCACCAGTGACAACTTTTACTGGATCCTCTTTTCTTTCTGTTACTTTTCCTACTTTGTATTTTTCATGTAAAATTTACTTCCAGTCCACTGTGATTTTTTTTTGGGGGGGGGGGGGGGCTGTCCTCTGCTCTGGTCATTTCACATGAAAATAAAAAAAAAAAATAACATTAATTTTTGGTCACTTTGGATAAAAATTCATTTAAAAATTGTTTCAAAAACTTAAAACTGGAATCTTAAAATTTTGCAATATATAAAACATATACATTTTCAACCTATAAACATTATTATCTCCCTTTATGCATTGTTGTGGCAATCATGTCTTAAGTCACCATGAATCCATGCAACTTAATACACAATACATGTACCTGTGTGGTCTCCTTGCTAGAGGATCTGTAATCCTGAGAATCTTCATTAGGAAAATCTTGCAAGGGCTGCAATGATCAATTTAAAATTATTTTTTAATTTGAAAGTTTGGGTTAAAATCCTGAACATCATATATATATTACATGTACCTAATATTTACATGTTATCCTGAAAATTTTCTGAATCAAGAGGAATGATTGATAAAGGAGTGGATTTAATGTTGTCATCAAGCATTTTTTTTTCAGTTTACATATAAAGCTTTTCTGCAGTTTGGACAAATCGCCAGAGATATAGAGACTAAGAGTAGAAATGAATTTGACAACAATTAATTTCTAAAGTGGAAAATGAAATGTATTTATATTATAAATTAATTGTAATAAAAACATACATGTTTTATGGATACTAACGTAATGTGGAATAATTTATTTTGTTCTTTAATGCGACTATTTTTAATTTGTACAATATGTCCTTGACATGTAAAGTACACAGCATCAGAATGATCTCATCTGTACAGATCAATATTGTCAAAATAAAACTATTCATATTTAAAATGTGTGCAAGATTGATATACCTGCAATATATAGCTGAAAAACAGTGATCAGTAAAATTAAAATTATGAGACAGAAAGCTGCATCTTGGAAAGTACAAATGGGGTTGCCATATTCTAACACCCTTGGATAGATTTCTTTACCTACTTTACAATACATCACCTTGCAGAGCAAATAACTTCATTGTATCAAGGTCCCAAAAATGATTTCACAATAGTATGACAAAGTATATGTACTTAGATCTAGAACACTATTAGCATCTGTAAATCTGTGTGTCTGCATGTACTTTCATAATTTTACACTTACACTTTTTTAATCAATTCTTTAAAATATTCTACAGTCCTGATATTGCTTAAAATTTCAAAAAATCTAACACACTATTCTGTTATCATTGTCAGAAGTCAAAGGTTTAATATTTCCGAGGTATGATTTCTACAAATCCTGTTTGTAAAAATAGATTGGACACAAGCATATTATCATTTGGAAAAATAAATTCATACAAACAATTTTCATCAAATATACTGAATTTTATAGAAAATAAAATACCAGTACCCAAAACGGGCACATATATTGCACAGTAGTATTTGATTCAATGTCATGTACATGTAATATGTGCAACTGTGCATCCAAGTTTTCATGGTTTTGTTTGTTTTTATTGTCTTATATTTCATTATACAGTCAGTTACCTAATCCGAGATTCCTCTGACTCTAACCCCTGCTTTTATATTGTGACTTGTGCGTACACATCGTCGGAAATCCACGGTCGGTCTCGTTTCTCTTACCTCGAAGAGAAGCGAGACCGACCGTGGGTTTCCGACGATGGTGCGCACAAGTCACAATATAAAAGCGGGGGTTAGAGTCAGAGGAATCTCGGATTATCAGTTAGTGCATGCAGGTACATGTGACACCTGAATAGAATTATGAATAAAAAAAATACTTACACATTGCAATCGGGATCGGTCGGGGACTACCACACCACTACATGTATCTCTCGATCTCTATTTCAAAGACGTCTTGAAGGGAACAGCTAACATCCTCTCGGCCTTCGCCCCATACCACCCTGATTTCCTCATATTTTCTTTTCTACGAGTAGCTATACGTGTGATACTCATCATGTCCAGATCAACCCTTTGGCTTTTCTTAAAGATTATCCCAACTTTGTCAACTGTTTTTCATCAAATTCTGAGTCTCTTGAGGTAGAATTTTCCTGAACAAGATGTTTCAAAACAAGAAGAAAAACTGCAGATTTCATTGTCTGCCATCTTGTTTACAATTTACACATTTTGTATTCTTCAATGCCGAAGAGCTCCAACAAGGGAAATAACTCGGATAGAGAAAAAGCGCATTTAGACCAACTTTATAGTGTAATAAAATGTTTATTTTTGATTTACCCATAAATGTTTTAAATGATATTTGCAAAATAACATTTCTTGAATCTAAATCTCCCTACTAGAATTTTCACATCACTTGTTAAAGTCTTTAAATATTAAGTCTAACAAGGGAGGTAACGAGGACTAATTATTCACTTTTTTGGCATCAGAAAATTAGAAATTGTAAAATCTTTGTGACCTTGGCTATTTTTTACATAGATTTGATTGTCATGAAGGATATAAAAAAATATGAACATAAACAGCTTTGTCTAGTAAATATTTTTTTGATATTATTGATAAATAGCAATATCCACTATAATTTACACCTTCTAGCCCCGTTTCCATGGCAACCAGGTAAACTACCATGCTTTCTTTCATATAGTCAATCTTTTTATTCATTGAAGTTTCAGTGAGAAAAAAATTAGCTGAATCCAAGACATCGCGTGGCCACGTCATTTTGATATTTACGTAGAATTGGTATTAAATAGTTGTTAGAATCGTCAACTTGACGATTTTAACAACAAATTAGAGATATATGTCCCGGTCAGGAACTGGAAATGAAATCAATTTCCTATTTCTGATGGAAGCAATTTTTTCTCAATACCCTCTAGTTCTTATAAAATTATTGCCTTCATTTTATTCACAGAAAACTGAAATTTGGGCGTTTTATTCACTGTGAAATGTCAATTTATGTTGAAGGCTAAAATACATTATTATCAAATTTAAGATTTATAAAAGACCACCTATCTGATAAAAAAAGATATGATCTAAGTTTAAATATTGCAGAGATAACTTGTGGAAATCCGGGGACAATAGCCAATGGTGTCGTTTCGGGATCGACATACACGTATGGTAATACTGTGACGTACTCCTGTAACACACACTTTAATCTGACCGGTGGATCAATCTCCAGAACATGTCAATCAAATTTTCTATGGAATGGAACGCAACCAAGATGTGCATGTGAGTTTTTGAGCATCAATCTGAAATTCATAATTTTATTTTTTTAAAAGTTGTCAAAAGGTATACAAAATAATATTTATTTTTAATTGAATAATAATGAAATACACAGACAAGTCTTTATTTGCGTTTATAATCTCTAAAAAATGATAATTTGATGTCAAAGTAAAAGAAGACAAATGAATTCGGAGGCCCATATATTGGCTTTGTTTAAGGGTTCATTTGATCGATAGCGTTCTTGGACGTCAAATGCATGTATATATATATATATATATTTTCATCTATTAGTCACCATTTGTATAGGGTGATTTTTATTTCTTTTTTAAATTTTTTTTTTGGTGTAAACATGGAAAATTTCCAGTCAAGGTAAAAAAAGAAAATTAGCTTTAGAGCGATATTGGCATGTTCAATACAATAAGAGTATGGTTTAACTTTATTTATGCTGTGCTGACTAGCAGGTTTCAATATATGTTTATATGTTTGCTTTCTGTACGGAATTTGTTCGGTTCTTTCTCTGTACTTTTCCATTTCGCTAATGTTGAGATCAATTGTTCCTAACTGACCTAAGTCGACATTCTGCCCGGTAGCAAAACATATGAACCTAAAATGCCCCTGATACAGCATAATCAATTGTCTGAAGTTCGATTATTGTTTTCGATATTTTTCAATATTTCTAGAAGAAAAAATTACAACATAATTATACTGTAAAACCAGTTAAGTGCATTTTTTACTCTGTTTTCCATATTTCACTTTTATCATTTTTTTTAGTTGTGAATTCATGCGCCAGCAACCCCTGTCTGAATAATGGCACATGTGTAAATGGCTTAGACAGATATGACTGTCGCTGTACTTCAAGTTACAATGGCATCAACTGTGAAAATGGTAAGTTCATGCATTTGATATGTTTCCGTCAATCTATCTTGAATTCATGAATACTAGTTAAAGACCTAGGGATTAAAAGACTATTCTGTATGGAATTTTGATCAGATATTCAGCCACCAGTAATGAAGAATTGTCCAAATGACATGTTCCTATACTCCACAAAACCAACTATTTTTGCAAATTGGACGGCACCAACTTTTCACGACCCTGTTGGAACAATTATAGACATAACATCAAACTATCCACACGACAGCTGGGTGTTTCCATGGGGTGATTACGTCGCGCAGTATGTTGCACTGAAACCTACCAATGGTCTTCGAACATTGTGTCAGTTCAATATTACAATTCGACGTAAGTTTATTTGATTTGTTTTATATTTAAGGGCGTGAACACATTTATTTTTTGTGTTATTTCTCTCAAGCTCTTTGATAAACGTCATAACCTAAACTGTTAAATCGTTAACTTCCCTTGCTTAAATATGTAGTAATTTGATTTCATCACCTGCATACGGAGTTAAGATATCTCAGTTGATTCAAAACACAAGAGCATGCTCTTACATGTATGTACAGTATCTAAAACGAGGTAATTTATAACAAACAAGTTTCTGAAACATGAATATCAGCAGTCTCTTTTAAAGTCATTTTTTAAGTTCTTTGAGAGATGAAATGACCGTTTCAGTAAATATAATTATCATTGAGTTAAATGCTGACTGATGTTTTACATACTATTATTGACCAATACCTATACAATGAATTGACGACGGAATTTCCCTTTATTTCCTGAAAATTAAAAGGTGCACACGGCGCGTTTTGACCGGTCAGCAGGGGATGCTAAGTCCTTTATAGGACCTGATTCCACCTCTGAATTTTTGAGGTCCGTGTTTGCTCTGCACCTATTTGTATAGTTTTAAGAAAATTCGAGCTTGAATTCTGTTCTTTATCTCCATATCTTTAACAAAACGAATTTCTGTTTCATTTTTTTTTAAATTGTACAGCTCATCCATGCCCAGAGCTAAACGTACCAGTAAATGGTGCTCGTGTATGTAATGGATGGAAGACCGACTATGGTAAATTCTGTTTAGTATACTGTGGCGGGAACTACAGCCTGAGCTTACAGTTTGATCACAGTCAGTGGTACGTGTGTGGATCCAGTGGGAATTGGATTGCTAATGGACCCTTACCAAACTGCACAGGTAAATGCTTTTCAGACGATCTTATTTATATAACTGAGATAATTGCTATTCCTTGTAGCATTACACAGTTACATGTAACCAAAACGCTAATGTTTTAAACCAAGTTGCTGATTCATTTCTTCATTCATAAAGGAAACCTTTTCCCAACCCTGTTGCAACCACTATTGAAATAACGACCACTATTGAAATAATTATTTCAATAGTGGACGTATTTCAATAGTGGTTATCACCTATGTTTTTTATTAAAATGCACTCTCAACCACTATTGATATAGTTATTTCAATAGTGGTCGTTATTTCAATAGTGGTTGCAACACACCCCGCTAAAAATGGAATTAAAGCCTCAATTTCTTTAACATCCACATTGTATGTAACCAAAGCCCGTTGCAAGATAATTTTATCAGAGCATAAGAGTGATTACACAATATTTACAAAGGTGGATGTACTCTGGGTTTTTCTCTTTTAACTAACTGCAAAAAACCCTGCAAACAAGATGAATCTAAAATTGGAAACAGAGATCTTTATGTTAAACGTCGAAACAGTCGACATAATCGGGACACTTCCAAACAAACAGTTTAGGTTCTGTTTGTAATAATCTTTATTTTATACGAGGGTTGTCCCGTAAAATCGTGGACAACACGTTTTTCTCGAAAAGTAATGGGCGCACTAAGCTGAAATTTCAGTAAATGTTTATTTACCATATTTAAGTGCATGATAATTTTTTTGATAAAATATAGACAAAAATAAAGATTTTATTATGCTCGGATGTGCACGAGGTATTGTTCTACGGCGCACGGTAAACAAACCAAGGTTTTATTAAAGAATACACGAGTTTGAATTCAAAATAAAAGTTTTAAATAAAAAAGATTTGGATTAAAATTATCCTAATTTCATCCACAATCAATTTTGTAGTCTTTGTAAAAATTTTAAGGCATTTGCTTAATTTTTGGCAGTTTCTCGAGCATTGGAAATGGGAAAGTGGTAAACACAACACACGAAAAATGGCGACGTTTTATAACGTTACGGCGCACCGGAGAACAGTTCAGTTTTATTTCGATGTTGTAATGACACCTTTAGAGACTTGAAATGACCATAGTAGATAAAAGATTATGAAAATATCACCATATCTTATGTATACAAATGAAATAGGAGTTTTCTTAGCGAAATTTTTTTTGATCGAGTCCCTGAGAAGTACAAAACATATGGACAAACTCCTAATGTAATAGCAAAAGACGCAGTTACAGTAGACCGCCGATATGAGATTTTCTATTAGTTGAATGATGGTGAGAATATTGTCCGTAACTTACTAATAAATCTTTAGAAGATCGCATGAGGGTGCCAATTGGTTCTTCGGCTGTTTATGGAGACTAAAGAATGTGTATCAATGAAATTCCTAAATCTAAGTCGGACTCATCCAACTTCATTTTCAGGAAAGATGAAACGTGACGCTGTTTTATACACTTTGACGTTATAATCCATGCGCCGTAAGGTGATACAAAACATGGCATAAAATCTCATAATTTGTTTATTTATGCATATATTTATCTGAAATTTGCTGTGTATATTACTAAAATATGTACTAAATAATAGTGAAAATTTCAGAACGCAGTGATGTTTATTTTTCACAATAGACAACTTGTCCACGATTTTACGGGACAACCCTCGTAGATAAGACGCAATAATATCGTTCAATTGAGGAATTTCCAATCATATCATGCAACACTGAAAATCGTGGCTTCAGTCTGCATATAGTTTTAAATCTTTATCATTTTTTAATTTGATTGACAGAATCTTGAGACTGATCCACCGGTCACCAATTTAACGTGTGCATTCTTATTTCATAAAATGTATGTAGAACCCGATGCAAATCCATTACATCTAGTCCCGTAGATTATACAAGCTGTATACATCTCTGCTATGTTTCTATTCATATCTGTGTCCAAGGATTGGCCCCATAAAAGGATATGATTCGAACATTAAAGCATTTACCATTTATAACTCAACTAATGTTGGACAAATTCAGAAGTGAGCTGTATGTTTCTATTTCAAGATCAGATTTTGACGCCCCAGGTTCTGAGTTCCTCCAGTTCATACCGATACGAGGATTGTTCAGCCTCCAGCGATATAAACAAGATACAGAATTCTTACATAGAGAGACTGAAGTCTTCTAATTACAATGACTTTTGTGATGAGAATATAAACCTATGCTCCGCTGAAAATGTAGAAGTTGCATGCTGAATGTGTACTTGTCACCTTGTTAATTGTAATTGATTAAATTCACCATGATTTTTTTTAATACAGAGATAAAAAATGATTTAATCATTCTAAATATTATTTGTTTTATACATGTAACCAGAAGAGGTTGTCATTAATTTGCACTATACTTTGCATATGTGTTATAATTGTCCCCCCTTGAAAAATGGGGGGTGTTGATTTGGGTCTGTCCGTCTGTCTTACTGCCTTTCTGTAATGTTTTCGTTTCTAAACAAACGATATCTCGAGAACCCTTTGAGCTTTCGCAATGAAAATTCGCATAGCAACTCCTTATGGAAAAAAAGAAGAAACCTATTGATTTTGAGGTCATAGGTCAAAGGTCAAGGTCATACAATTCATAAATTCCTTTTGTTATAACTCTTTCTTTTCCGCGTGAGATCTAGAGAACCCTATGAGATTTCGCAATGAAATTTTATATTACCACTCCCTGTGGCCTCAGAAAAACTACTATTGGTTTATTGGTTTGAGGTCAAAAGGTCAAAGGTCAAGGTCATGAATGTATATATTCTGTTTTTGTGTAAGGCTATCGTTTTTGGGCGATATTTCAAGAAGATTTTGAGCTTTTGCAATGAATTTTTATACCAAAACTCTCTTACCCCTCTCAACGTGTCCCACCCCGTTTGTTTAATCAGGATAAAGTGTCAATTGGCACTCAATTATTACGTACGTGTATAATACATGTTGTTGGCAAACTTTTCATTTTATTACAGCTTTTAGTCCAAAACTGTTTAATAAAGGCTAAATTAGACACCATGTATTGTGTAAACTTTTGACAATAGCGAGCGTAAATATATAATAAATATGTATGTGACCTAATGTGTGCCTATAATTTCCGAAAGCATAAAGCGGCTCCTTGGTGAAGTGGTATTTCTCTCGCTTAACATGCAAGAGGAAATAGAATTTTGCTGTTGATTCTGGATGAATGATATGTTTACCTGGCATGAATCTCATATAATAAGTGAAAAATTTTACAAATGTTAAAATTTCTTATCCGTTAATAACAATATTTTTGTATGTTCTACAATATTCCCTTACTGAAGCTGTTTGTGAAATTTCAATGAATTGAATTTAGAATGTTTTAGTCATTAAAATATCCATACTACATGTATGATCGGTTTATATTTGTGTGTACTTGACTTGATAACCTTAATACACTGGACCTTGCAAATAAATTAGCCATTGAAATTGTTATCTCTAAAATTCACGTAATATAGCTCACTATGATGTTATCTCATATAGGCAAGTAGAATATTTGGCTGTAGCCTTAACATACCTGCGCGCAAATCACAATATCCGTGTTCGTAATCGACTTTTACGAGAAGCACTGGCTTCGACAGTTGACGATTTACTTGGACATTTAAACTTGTATCATGTACGGAGATACAGAGTTGATAATAAATAAGAAAACCTTTCTTGTGATCATAGGTATGATGTAAGGGGGACTTGAATGTGAAGGCAGGAAGTTGAGGATAGGTTGGTTGTTGTTTTCTTAAAGACAACTTATATGTACATTGAAATAACCCATTAATTTCGTTTGTTTAAGTCTTGAGCTAAATACATGTATTTAAATCGTAAGAGAGCTTCCATACATTGTCCTAGTTTAAAAGTAAGTCTTCTACTGTTAAAGTCAGTGCTCCTCGTAAAAGTCCAATAAACGATTTTTACTGTTACAAAAAATTGAAATATAGGAGCAGAGCAAACAGGTGCCTCTAAAACATTAGATGTGGGATCAGATGCCCTGGAGAAGTAAACATAGCATGCCGTCCTGTCACACCCGCCGCTTGCTCTTTGTCATTATTGGGGAAAAACAGAAAAACTTTCAACAATTCAGAGTGTAAATAATAATGCAATATGTATGCAGATTGTCAGCATTTGAATGAATGATAAATCTATGGAGACAAAGAATAACTATAAGTTAAAAATTGATTTTTTAACCAAAATATTAGGTTCATTGACTTTAGTCAACAAGTTGTTTTTTCTATTGTAAAATGTACAATTGTACATATTGCATTTAAAATTAATAAATTTGCAAATTCAAATAAGGATGAATAATAAAACACAGGCCCCACAAGTCCAACATCATCCCCCATACAGATCTTAAATCATATAAATAAAATATATTTAACTACCAGTATAAGTTGTAAAAGTAATTACAAAATCTTTAAAACTTTGATTCACTACAGTAAGGAAAATCTTGAGACTTTTATTTACTATAGAAAAAAACTTTGGAACTTTGGTTTACTATGGTAAAAACTTTGGAACTTTAATTGATTTACTACGATGAAAACTTTCGAATTCTGATTAACGATAGTAAACTATAGTATTTTTTTTTGTTACGGCAAAGTCATCTAATCTAAAAGATGTGAATGGCGGAAATTCTTGAAGGCGATCATCTGGTAAGTCTGCCATCTGAATCCATCCAAACATACCACAAAGTCATCTACAGGTAACACAGCAGTGAATCCCAGATGAACCATATGCTTGCTGCTGACAATTAAGGAAGCAGAAAATTGGATAACTCCTGTCAATTGTCTACCATGGTGATGTTTGCGTATTTTGGAGTGTGATGACGTAATATAAGGAGATAGAGGTCCATTCATAACATTATAACAGTAGCCTGTTCCGAAGAATAAATTAGTGATTCTAAAGAGATGTGCATTTTTGAACTTACATAAGAATTATTCCCGAAATGACCGCAAATATAAACTCTTTGCTTAAATCAAACCTTCTGTTAAATTTGAAAGGACAAAGAATCCTTAGTTGGTACTCAAAGAGAAACTTTGTTACAACGATAAACTATTTGAAATATGAAAGCCCGGAATTCAACAGGAATTTAAAAGGAAGGGTAAGGAAAACTATATTTTCACGAATTTTCGAGTTGATGAACATAAAAATGACACGTAGTTCTTCATATTTAGTTCAAGGTTGTTCTATAGCGACTATCTGAAAAACGTAAGACTTTTTCAATGTCTGTAACTGTATATCCGTACTAACATACATGTTAACAGCGTTGTCTTGTTTAAATAGCGATAAACTGTATCTAGTTACATGTATTTAGGTAAGCATTGGATTTATTTTGTGTATGTATTTTTCTGTTTTTAAAAACTCAGTTTGTACAAGTAGTCAAAAATATTTTTAAGCTTTTTAATGTTTAAGAAGCTGGTATGTGAATCTTTCAGACGCAGGTAGACATTCCAGGACTATTTATTTAAGTTTGTTTTAAACCCATTTTTTTAAATAAGTCTTCTCAAAAAGTTAAAGTGTTAACAATACGAACAAAAGAAGATTTGTAATTTTATTCAAACATATATATATATATTGTAAGAGATTGAATATTTGTCAATCGGACCAAAGGTTATCAATGTAGGATATTAGTTTAGGTGCAGTATATAAATTTTTGTTGTTAAGGTTTCGTCAAAGTTCAACATGTCTAAAAAAATCTTTTTGCAAAAGCTCCAAAACTGTGTCTGGAGTCAAAGCGTTTACAGTTTATAAATATATCATTGATTAATAGACAGAAAGTATCGCTTAATAACAAATATTTTTAAAAAGATTTTTTTTGAGAAAAATTGTATCAGAAAATGTGCATATTAAAAAAATGCACCTGCTTTATTCTGTCCTTTTTGTGAAAACCATCATTGCAGAAATAATATATGTTTATCATTGAAGGGTGAGTTGGACGTGAATCGTCTCTGAAAGGCTGTTATTAAAAACATGACATGTATAAAGACAAGACCCCTTTAGAACCCGCCATTTGCAATGTACTTTCACTTTCAAGTCTTAACATTTGGACAAAATAAACAGGGAAAACAACTTTCCAGAGACTATCTAAGTCCAACTTGCCCTTCATTGATAAACATAATTTGTTTCTGCAATAATGGTTTTCACAAAGAGCACGGAATTAATTAGGTGTATTTTTTGAGAATATATGCATTTTTAACAATACTTTTTCTCAACTACTATTTTTTCCATGTTTTTTTTTTATCAAGTGATACTTTCTATCTGTTAATCAATAAAAAATTGATAAACTGTAAAAGGTTTAACTTTATACCTCATATAGTTTTGGGGCTATTGTAAAAACAAATTTTTGAACATGTTGACCTTTGACGAAACCTTAACAACCGTTTTTCCTTGGCATATTACCGTTCACGGTAGCTCAGTCGGTAGAGTGCTCGCTAGGTGATCGGGAGGTTGTGAGTTCGTATCTCGGCCGCGACTGACCTAGTCGATAAAATGGGTAGCAACTGTTCCTTCGCCATGCGCAAGGCCCCGCCAAAGGCGTTTATGCATAAAATTATCACGCAAGCCAATCGATTGATCATCTTCATGAAATTGAAAAATCTGACAGTTATTCCTTATATTTACATGCTTTGATTCCGCCTATCCACGTGCACCAAGCCCTGCTCCTGTCTAGCTGTATGTCAAGCCCTGCACGTGGTTTTCTTGGAAAGGCGCCAATACATTGGTGTGGAAATGAAGTACATTTTCAATTGGTAATTTTATCTTAGACAAAGACATTGGAAATGTAAATATTAAAATATATCCATAACATTAAAAAATATGGAATACATAAGAAAAAATAATTTACTTTCAATATATTGAATTAATGAAACAAAAATACTGAAGCGTTGATTTTTTATGAGATAATGAAATCCTAGTAAAAATTGCATAAATCTGTCAGAATTTTCTTAAATTACTTTCTACATGTACAGGGTTTTTTTATTTAAATACGAATTTCTCTATGATTTTCTTAACTTTACTTTTGGTACCTGACAAACTACTATGACATTGTATTAATTGTTCATTTACCAACTGGTACAAATGAGAATTCCAATAGATTGATGGAAGACAGTTATTACCACCGTTATCAGGCACCGTTATTAACAGACCTATTTTTATTCTCATACAGTGCAGGGAACTAATTTTGTTACACAAACCAGCTTCAGGATCAGCATAAGTAGGATCAGGATAGAACTAGCATCAGCATCAGCATATAAAAATACAGCATTACTTGGATCAGC